TAGTAATGTATTTTTCTTCTTAAGTGAATCTAACTCATTATATTTAATGCAAGGAGTTAATATGCAATTGTCATGCTTAATTTTTTAAAAACAAATTCTAAAATTATTAGAAAGCGAGGTATGATACCTCTTTTATATTTCTAAAAACAACTTATGAAATATATTTTATATTTCTTACTAATTAATTTAAAAATAACTTATGAAATGCATCAAGTAATTTCATAGTAAGGTAAAGGGATTTTGGTTGAGTTACTTACCTCATTGTCGAAAGTCACCAAAGCACAGTTCGCCATCTTCTTTAGCTGCAGACATTCGCTTTTGAAGTGCCTTGGCCGATTGCATTCATAATAAGTTATTTTATTCTTTTTAAGTTTATTTTTATTCTTTGATTCTTATTTTATAAGCTTTTTAAATTTTATTATAAGTAGTTCAATGTCATCATTATCATTATCATCACTTAAGTTTTCTCTCAAGTGGTCTTCTATTGTTTGAAATGTCAAATTCTTCCTATTTTTTGGAAGGTTATTCTCATATTTATTATGTCTGATACAAGTCATTTCATAGGTCATTAAAAACCCAATAAGTTCTTCAAGAGAGAACTTGTTCAAGTCCTTTATCTCTTATATTATTGTCACTTTCGTATCTTAACTTTTTGGAATGGATCTTAGTATTTTGTTAACAAATTCAAAATTAGAAAAACTTTTACTAAGTGCTTTCAAATCATTAACAACATCCGTAAAATGGGTGTATATGTCTCCAATAGTTTCGCTTGGTTCCATTCGAAATAATTCAAAACTATGCATCAAAAGATTAATTTTTTATTTTTTAACCCTAATTGTGCCTTCCTGTGTATGATTTCAAGTATGCCAAATGTCATGTGCAATTTCACAAGTCAAAATATAAGTAAACTCATTTTTATCCAAATCACAAAATAAAGCATTCATAGCTTTTACATTTAACGAAAATAATTTTTTCTCAAAATCATTCCATTCATTTATAGATTTAGAGGATTGTTGAAAATTATATTCGATAATATTTCATAAATCAAAGTTTAAATAAATCAAGAAAACTCTCATTCGTATTTTTCAATATGTGTAGTTCGTCTCATTAAACATATGAGGATGAATGATAGAGTGACCTTCTTAAAAGCTGAAAAAAGTTATCTCTCTTAGGTGTTAATCCAACAGAGAAAAACGTGGCTCTAGTACCAACTGTTAGGATCATGAATCGGTACTAAGAGGGGAGGGAGAATTAGTGCTTGTAATAAAAACAATGATTTAAAAATTCTCATTCGATGAAAACCGATATCAGAAAGAGTTTAACTTGAAAGCACATTTATAAACATAATGAGAGTAGTAAGCAAGTAAATTAGTTTGCAATATGAGAATGAAAAGCATAATAGAAAAGCAAACTGAGTACACTAGGTTTATAGTGGTTCGATCGTTGTGACGTATGTCCACTTCTGATTCCTCCTCCGTTGAGGCCATCGACATCCACTAATGGTCTTCCTTCAATAGGCGAAGACTAACTACCCTCTTACAATTTTTTTCTCCTTTTCACAGGTTTAGGAGATAACCTTTACAACCACTCAACCCTCCCTTAAATAGAAATTACACTCTTAGAGAAGAGGAGGGGAACTCTCAAGATTATAATAATATTTTCCCCATTTTATGTTCTCAATTCATGTGTTTACTGAGTAGGATGAGTGTGGTTTTTATAGACCCCAAATGGATTAAAATTTAGAGTCAAAACGATCTCATCCTAGGTTTTCGGGGTACTGGCAGTACCACCGCCTGACTGACTGACAACTAACGGTACCATCACTTGTCAGTTTGACATTGGGTGGTACCATCGCCCAGTCTAACACTAACACTGGGCAGTACCACCGCTTGACATAGTCTTGAAGATTGTGTTTGGGCAATACCGCCGCTTGATAGTGGAAGACTATGTTTGGGCGATACCACTGTCGGTCTGGGCGATACCACTGCCTAGACAATTTGGGAGGCCGAGTCCTAAACGGTGCCACCACCTAAGCCTACTAAGGGTTGCTGCATGGGCTTGGCCCAAAACAACCCCAACTCAGGCCCAATAAGCCCATAATTGTGTTAACATTGTTTCATCTCAATACCAACTCAATTAAATCTAAATTAACTCGATCTAGACAAATTATTACAAAGCATAAATCATATGTTGTCCAGCATGTCATTGGTTCTTCTAATGCATCATCTTCTCCTTCGGCGTATTGCCCAATCGGCATGTTAACTCCCATAACTTCCGATCTCCTTAGCACAATGTCCGATCCTTCGGCCTAATGCCCGAACTCATGGCATGAAGTCCTTCTACTAGCACGTCGACTGATCCTCTAGCCTACGTCCAATCTTTTGATATGTTTACTCCAGCCTAATGTCTGATTCTTTCTACTTTAATCGATTTGTCTTTTCTAATCGAAGTTAGTCTTGCGTCACTCAAAATGTATATTAGATCGTAAACTTATCAATTAATTTCATCATCAAAATCCAAGATTCAACATATATTAGTTTTGCAATTGCAATACTCGGAAGATACCAGAGCAACCCATGAATGAAACATTGGAAAGCTATAAATAAAGTAATGAGATATCTATAGGGGGCGAAATATTATATGCTCACATATATGAGATCAGATCAGCTTGAAGTGATGGGATATTCAGATACTGATTTTGTAAATTATCTTGATAGTAGGAAGTCCACTTCAGGATTTGTATTCCTATTAGCAAGTGGGATAATTTCTTAAAAAATTACAAAGCAATCGCTTATTGCATCATCAATAATGGAAGCTGAATTTGTGGTATGCTTTGAAGCCATAAATTAAGTTTTATGGTTGTGAAATTTCATCTCAGGACTTGGTGTGGTTGACTTAATTAATAAGTCGTTGAAGATATTTTATGACAATGCCGCAATAATTTTCTTCTCTAAGAATGACAAGTACTCTTGTGGTTCCAAGCCTATCAAGATAAAGTACTTGGTGATTAGAGAAAGAGTCCAGAAACAACAAGTGTTAATTCAGAACCTGAGTATTACTATGATGATTATTGATCCATTTACTAAAGTTTTATAATGTAAAATATTTAAAGAATATGTTCTTATAATGGGACTTGAGAGCAAGCCATAAAAGATATTGTAATACATGTGGATGCTATTATTGATATTTCTTTTACATAATTAAAGTTGTTTGCTTCTGTTATCCTGTTTATATTTATGTTTATTCATATTATAGTTAAATATCATAATATGATTATCTTGATAAGATAAATTATAGGGGTCATTATGGACTATATTAAGAAAGATTAACAATATTTTGGTATATAGAAGGAAGTATGACATTAATGATATGCAACCGCTATGACTCGTATTGATAGTTGGATTTAATATAATATTATTATGTTTATTAGACTTATTGACTTATTTCTAAAATTCATGGTCATATATAAAATATTTTTTCAAAATATTTGGAATCCAATTAGATAAAATTATTTTCAAATAAATTTTATTTTATTTATTTTAATTTTGAATATATTTTATATCAATGGGCCTAGTGGGAGAATATTAGATTTTGTGACATTTTATAATTAGATAAGATATATAATCGAATTAATTAGATTATATTGGCCGATAGAAAAGAAGTCCATATTATAATAGGATTCCTTAGGGGATGTTCGAACTTTTCTAATATGTTAGAAGATGCAGTTGAGGGATTACAGTTTCTCTCACAACCCTTTTTAAATCATCAATCTAAGTGGTATTATGAAATTATAATAAAAAAAAAACGAAAGTCTAGTTATCCTTATAGATTAACAATCATTTTGGATTTAAAGATGATGGTTTTATAGATCTCATAAATTCTTTTCAAATGACATCAAAAAATATACATCGTAAAACAGATTTAATGTTATTTGATTTCAATCATAATATAAAAAATTATTTTTAAGAGCAAAAAAAAAAAAAAGCGAACCTCGACGACAATATCGTATTAACGACGAAGAAACTGATCTGTTCAATCGGTTTCTTCTCCCACAAACCATCCCCCCAAGGTTGGTTCCTCTGTTCAATCGTTTCCTCTTCCCTGTTTCGTTTTCTCATCCTTTTTACCTAACAGAACTGAAGACCGTCG